TTAGAGGTAGAGTGCTTGCCTCACATGCATGAAGTCTTGGGTTCCATTCATCTGTACCACATATGGAGAAAAAGCCAAATGTGAAGCCATGGCTCAAGTGGTAGAACGCTAGACTTGAGCAAAAGAAGCTCAGGGACAGTGCCCATGCCCTGAGTTCAAGCCCCAGGACTGGAAAAAATAAAATAAAATAAAGCATATTTTTTTAAAAAGCAAAAAGCCATACTTTGAGGTATAGCTTAAAAGGCACAGAGCACCAGCAGTGAGCAGAAAAAGCCAAGTAAGACCATAAGGCCCCTAATTCAAGCATCAATATAGGCAAAAAAAAAAAAAAAAAACAGGAAGATGGGCAAGGTAACAGAGCAGATAGACCAGCATGAGTTCCATATAGAGTTCCATATCAGTGTGGGTTACATAGCAAGTCTGAAAAAAAAAAGAAAGAAAAAGAAAAAAAGCTAGGTACTAGTGGCTCATACCTATAATCCTAGCTATTCAGGAGGCTGAGATCTGAGGATCGAGGTTCAAAGTCAGCCCAGGCAGGAAAGTATGTAAGACTTTTTTTTTTTTGGTCAGCCATTGGGCTTGAACTCTGGGCCTGGGCACTGTCCCTTGAACTCTGGGCCTGGGCGCTGTCCCTCAGCTCTTCAGCTCAAGGCTAGTGCTCTACCACTTGAACCACAGCACCACTTCCAGTTTTCTGGTGGTCTAATGGAGATTAGAGTTTCTTGGCCTATCCTGCCTGGACTGGCTTTGAACCAGTATCCTCGGATCTCAGCCTCCTGAGTAGCCAGGATGACAGGTGTGAGTCACGGGTGCCCAGCAATGAGTCTCTTATCTCCAATTAACCACCAGAAATGATGCCATGGCTCAAAGTGGTAGAGCACTAGCCTTGAGCTGAAGAGCTTAGGGACAGCACCCAGGACCAAATAAGTAGTAGGTAGGTAGGTAGGTAGGTAGGTAGGTAGGTAGGTAGATAGATAGATAGATAGACAGATAGATAGACAGATAGGGCTATAAGGTTGGGGATACAGTTTAGCAGTGGAATGACTGCCTAACATTCATGAAGCCCTGTGTTCAATCACCAACACATGGGGAGAAGGAACACATTCCCTCTTCTTTTCTGCCAGTTAGAAAAACTCAAGCCTGGGGCTGGGAAGGTGGCTCAGTGGTAGAGCGCTTGCCTTGCATGCCTGAGGCCCTGGGTTCGATTCCTCAGCACCACATAAGCAAAAAGAAAAAAAAAAGCCAGAAGTGGCGCTGTGGCTCAAGTGGTAGAGCGCTAGCCTTGAGCTGAAGAGCTGAGGGACAGCGCCCAGGCCCAGAGTTCAGGCCCCATGACTGGACCCCCCCCCCAAAAAAAAAACAACAACAAAAAAACAAGACTGGGGGGTGGGAGACAGCTAAAAAACAAAACAAACAACAACAAAAAGAAAAACACTGACTCTGCCACATAAACCTGGGCAGTTTCCTCAGCCAGTATAAAGGTTTATCATAAAACATCAGAATGGTTACACGTAGGAAGGAAGGCCTTCAACTGTCAAAGACCTAGGGAGGAGGAAAAGCTGTAACAATTGGGTAGTAAAAGACAGAAACTAGGCACAGATAGTTCATGCCTGTAATCCTACCTACTCAGGAGGCTGAGATCCAGAAGATCAGGGTTCAAAGCCAGCCTGGGGAAGCAAAGTCCTTGACAGTCCAAACTGACCAGCAGAAATCAGGGCTGAAGGCATAGCTGAAGCAGTAGAGTACCAATTGAGTATGCCAACCAAGTACAAGGTTAAGATATCTTCTAAACCAAGAGGAAATAAAATATACTAGGTTCAAGTAGGATATAAAAGTTGAACATTGGTGGCTCATGCCTGGCATCTGAGGATCACAGTTTTTGAGGCCTGGGCAGGAGAGTCTGTGGTACTCTTTTTTTGTCGGTCATGGGACTTGAACTCTGGGCTTAGGCACTGTCCTTGCGCTCTTCAACTCAAGGCGAGCGCTGTACCACGTGAGCCACAGTGCCTCTTCCAGTTTTCTAGTAGTTTATTGGAGATAAGATGTCTCACGGGCTCTCCTGCCTGAGCTGGCCTTGAACTATGATACTCAGATCTCAGCCTCCTGAGTAGCCAGGATTACAGGTGTGAGCCACCAGTGCCCAGCTCTGTGGTACTCTTATCCCAAATTAACCACGAAAAATCCAGAAGTGGGGCTGTGGCTCAAGTGATAATAGTTGCCAGTGTTAAGCAAAAAGCTAAGGAGAAAACACTAAGGCCCAAAGTTCAAGCCCATACCAACATACATACACACAAAAGGAGGAGGTTAAGCTTTGATTTATTTGAGACAGTTTCTTACTTTGTGGCTCAAGCTGATCTAGAACTCCTGATTCTTTTGCCACAGCCTCTGAAGTACTGAGATTACAGGCATGAGGCCACCCCACATGCCTCATGAGGCTAGGAGGTAAGTTTTTTAACAAATGCCAAAGGCTTTACTTTTGTAAGCATCAACTCTAGTCAAGTAGCTCCCAAGTTCCCTCCAAACCCACCTTCCTCAAAGCTCAACATACACCAGCATATCTGTGGGTCACAATATCCAGCAAGCCAAAGAGATAATTTGGGGTTTTATATTTTGGTAGTAGAAATCAAATCTAGAGCCGTGCACTACTCAAGAGGCTGAAATCTCAGGATCTTGGTGAGTCAAAGTCAGCCTGGGCAGGAAAGTCTGTGAGACTTTTATCTCCAATTAACCAGTTAAAATCCAGAACTGGAACTGGAGTTGTGACTCAAGTGGTAGAGCACTAGCTTTGAGCAAAAACTCAGGGACGGTGCCCAGGCCTTGAATTCAAGCCCCAAAATTGGCAGCAACAACAACAACAAAAAAAAAAAAAGCTCTATCACATAACTATATAACCCAAGACATGGTTCAAATCCTTGGTCATGAGCTTAAGGCTTCCCACCCACACATTCCTGAACTCCCTCCCCCATCAAGGCTTAACATTCCCTTAGCAATACCTTGTCAGTCTTCCTTCTCAAAAGACTCCTCCTTCCTCCTCATCTCTCAGATGGCTGACTTTATTACCAGAGGTCCTGACCCCATTCCTCCCCGTTACTCTCTAGCCATGGACAGTATCCTTCTAAACACAGGTCTGTGGTATGCCACTGGCTGATTAAAAAGCATTCCCATGTTCCACTACCTTGACTTAGTTGGAACTCCTTAATATAAGGAAGGCGTAGATCTCTCACCTGTCAAGTTGGAAGACTCCCAGGCACTATTTTAGACACTCATGTACATATAGTTCCCTGTATCCAAGTCTCGATGTCCCCTAGATAATTCCTGTAGGCCCTGAAGGCCACAGTTCAGGAATTCCCTCTCCCAGGCTATGAGGTAAGCACATTTTTGTGAGCAGCAGCTATTAATCACGAGTTCTCGGATTCCCACTGTCCCCCAAAATGAGTTCCTTCAAGGCAAAGCCAGATCCTTTTATGTGAGTCCGTAGGATCTACCACAGAATTTGGCAAGTAGTAAAGCCAAATACTTGCCAAATGAATATATTTTGCCAAATCAGTTTTTTTAGAACAGTGAGGATGTGTCTTCTGCCTCTTGCAGGAGAGGTACATTATCAACACATGCTTTCATGGCTCAACCAGGTGTTTGTCTGCATAGCAATCCTCATTCCTACCTTTACACAATTACCCACAGGCCTTGAACTGTCTCAGGCTATGTCCCTAACTCTCCATTGAATTCTTGAGTTCTGATTTCTCCAAGAAATAGCTCCTGAGCTTCCTTTCGGCATGCAAGCCATGAGTTCTTCTCCCTTGGCTGAATTCAGGACAAAAAAGTTCAGTTCTCCATCTATTCGCACTATAGGATTATATGCCTTTAAATGTGTTATGGAACAATTCTTTTTTAGAACAACACTCCAGAATATGGTGTCTCTCTGCAAACACTTAGCATAGCACAACTGGTAAAATTACAACACCCCATCTTTACACCAGACTTCCCAAAACACCTGAAAACACATCCAACTCTTTATCCGGTCTTAGGGTCTGATAAACACCACCCTCACCTACAGGAATCTGGCTCCCATGCCAAAGAAAGACTTCAACCAGCTTATTTAGGGAAACAGCAGGCAGGACTCTTAAGTTAGAACTATGCTTAAGGCTATAAAGGTTCTGTCCCAGACCAGTCACCATTTCATCACCGCCATTAAAAGGAACCCTGAATAATTTCAATCTACACAGGCTAAGAGCGTCTCGGGGTTTAAAAGGGGCATTGGAAATTGCCAGTCGGAAGTTAACTTGAAATGTATGGCCAAAAAAAAAAAAGAAAAAGACTTGAGGGGCCTCTGGAGATATATATACTCTGGAGTGAAACCGGCCTTCCAAATACAAAGTTTAAAAAAAAAAAGGGGGGGGGAAGAAGTAAGCTTCCTAAGCAGCCCAACTGGGGAGGGGGTACCCCAACCCCAAGATTCTTAGCAGATCGGACCCACAGAAGCGGGGGGGGGGGGGGGGGACACCCTTCCCACTAGGGCTCCAGGCCCCATAGGTTGGGATATTGGGCCACGACCCCCACACACACACCACACACACACACACACCCCAATGGAGACCCGGTGGCGGCCCACAAGGCCGCACACGCCCACGGCGGACGTGCAGGCCCCGCGATCCGGGGGGGGGGGGAGCGCTGGGGGAGCACCCCCCCCAGGGGTTAAGGCCTGGCCCAGCCTCGGCTGCCTGCACGAAGCCCCGGGGCCTTGCATCGGAAAACGCTTCGAGAGCCTTCGCCCAGAGGGGACTGGAGAGCAAGAGGGGCGGCTCCACCCGGGCGGTACCGCCTCCTCACCGACAAGGACGTCCGTGGTCGTGTCCCCGCCCCGGGGTGGAGGGGGGGGGGTCCCCCCGAAAGCGAGCAGCAGCAGCAGGTGTTCCGCGGAAGGCTCGGCCCAGCGGCAGCAGGAATGGGGGGGGCCCCAGCAGTCCGACACGGCGAAGGGGGGGGGGGGGCGGCGCACTCACCGAGCGCCTTTCCTCAGGCGGGCAGGCCGCGGCAGGTGTTCGCTCCTCCCGGGCCCCTCAGGACGCAGCCCGTCGCCGCTCCCCCGGGACTCGGCGCGAAGCTGCTGCCCGGCTGCCGCCCCCGGAGCCCAAGGAGCGCGAGCGCCCGCGCCGCGCCGCGCCGCAGCCTCCGCGCGAGCACGTCACCGGGCGGTGAGAGGGCGCCGAGCGCGAGGGCGGGGCGCGCGGGCTGGAGCCTAGCAACCGCCTGACACGCGAGTCCCACAGCCAATCCCGCCGCCGGGGCTCCGCCGGGGCGCCCGACTCGCCGTCCGCGCGCCGCTCTCGCTTCTGCCTGCGTCGGCCGCCCCGCAGCGCGCCGCACCCCGCGCGCAAGCTCCACCCCCTCCGCCCTCCGCCTCGGCCGCATCTCTCCGCTGATTGGCCCACCACGCCCCCTCTCTGAAAACCACGCCCCCTCCTCCGTGGCTAGCCCCGCCCTCGCGGCCTGCCAAGTCTGTCCCGGGACACGCCTTGACCAGTCCGGGTGGCCCTGAGCCATCGTCAGTAGGAGTTGGGGGGTGGGGGGGGGGGGGAGGAAGGGCGTCCTAACTCACCTCTGGCCTTTACGCCTTCCAGACTAACCGGGAATGATCCAGAGCCTCGAACCGGTCTGACCACAACGGGTCGATTGCGTTCAACCCTCCTGATTTCTCTCAAACGAAACCCCAGGAGGGATTCTAAGACTTGAATGAAGTGTCCTCGAAATTGGAAAGAATGGAGTCCTTTCACCCTCCCCTGACACAGCTGGAGGAACCAGGGCCCGGGCTGGGAGAGGTGGGAAGCTATTACCGTGTCCTAGGACCTGGCACACAGCAGGCCTAACCTTTGTCCCCTCCCCCTGCCTGGAAAGCTAGAGTCCAGTGTCTTCTCGGATGCCCGAAATAGCTCTGACCGGCCAGCTCTGGTCACTAACTCCCTGTGACCTGCATTCTTTAGAAGAGTGGATGGTTGTCAGAAGCCTCCTCCCTTCAAAGAGTTCCAAAAGTACCTCTTCCTCTCCCCCAGAGCCTACAGGTACAGACAGATTCCAACCCCAAAACCTCTAATAATGGAAGGGTCTGGAAATGAATCGGAACTGTGAGTGGACCGCTCCTTTCCCATCCCTACACCCTGAGAAGAATGAGTCTATTCTATCCTGGGCCTGGGGCCAATGCTAGAATTCCAGGCCCACACTCTGTTGTCAGCAAGCACATTCTGAACCCAGAACTGCAGGCTGCCTGCTTGGAGTTCCTACCTAATTCCCCGATCGATCTGGAGTTCCCATTGTCTTCCCAACTCCTCAAGGATGTCTAGAAGAAGCAAATTTCAGAAAGTCCAGAAAGGAATGCCTCACCATCATCCAATAAACACCGACTTGTTTGCCATACTTAAGTGAATAAGTTTCCAAACCTCATTTATAGAAACTACAAAAAGAAAAGAACTAAAAAGCAGAACTGGCTTCCAATCACCCATTAGAGGTTCAAGACTAAATAATTAACAACCACCCAGATCAACTCTTAAAAATGGGCATTAAAAAGGCAAAGGGTGCTGCTGGGAAGATAGTTCAGTGGTAGAGTGCTTGCCTAGCAAGCATGAGATCGTGGGTTCAAATCTTCCATACCACATAAATAAAATATTTTTTTTTAAGGCTAAGGGCTGGGGGCCTGGCTCAAGTGGTAGACTGTCTGCCTAGCAAAGAAGATACCCTGAATTCAAACTCCAGTTTTTTTTTAGAAAAGAAATCAACTAAGAATGAAATGTGGCTAGGAAGGTGGCTCAGTGGTAGAGTGCTTGCCTTGCATGAATGAGGCCCTGGGTTCAATTCCTCAGCACCACAGAAGCAGAAAAAGCTGGAAGTAGCACTGTGACTCAAGTGGTAGAGTGCTAGCCTTGAGCTGAAGAGCTGAGGGACAGCGCCTAGGCCCAAAGTTCAGGCCCTACCCACAACCAAAAAAAAAAAAAAAAAAGAATAAAGTGGGTAGGGTAGGGTAAGCCATGAACTTGGGATGTTTAGTCAGAAGCATGGGGCAAGAATTCCAGGAACTGGTGGCTCATGCCTATGATCCTAGCTACACAGGAGGCTGAGATCTGAGGTTTCCAATTCAAAGCCAGTTCTGGCAGGAAAGTCCATGAGACTCTTATCTCCAATTAACCACCAGAACATCAGAAATGGCACTGTGGCTGAAAGTGGTAGAGAACTAGCCTTGAGTGAATGAGCTAAGGGTCATGCCCAGGCCTTGAGTTAAAGCCTCTGACCAAAAAAAAAAGGGGGGGCCCAAAGGCTAGTGTCCATCTTCATTCTCTTCCCATGAGAGAGAACCTTCTCCAAGCCTGATGAATCAGGGCAAAGAACAATGCTAGCCAAAATGGAGACTTGGGGGGGCAAATGTCAGGACCACAAGCCTGCCTGAGTCAGTAGGACAAGCAATCAGGTCCAGTCAAACCAGAGGTAAGTGAGGGTAAGCGAGACGGGGAGGAGGTCCCCTTTTGTCTGGATCTAACAGGAGGCAGATTGTTCTAGAGCCCTGGCAGAAAGAAATGACTGATAAGTTTATCTGAGGAAAACGGCCAGTAGGCGTGTTTTTGGGTTACAACCAGATTTCCCAGAGGCCAGTTCCTTCCCTGGTAGGGCTCTTTACTCCAGCACTTTGTGGATCTTTTCATACATGCCTGGCATAAGTCCATCCCCCAGGCAGCTAAGCCAAGCATTTGCACCTGGGTTCCTAGGAACATAAAAGTCCTAATCAGACAGGAACCCCACAACAAAGGTGTTGGTGGAATGAATTAAAAACATCTTTCTGCTAGGTGGACACATGTATCTACTGCCCCCTCTCTTGACTACATTCTGCTAGGATAAAATAGTCCCCCAAGGTCAACTTTTGGTAGTTATTATCAGAATACCCGACCAATGGCCTTGAGCCCTGGACAAACACCAGATTAAGTACAGTCTGTCTGGGCCAGCAGAAGAAGCAAGAAAGGCTGAATGACCTATTGGTTTATTCTCTCTCTCTCTTTCTCTCTCTCCCCCTCCCTCCCCCTCCCTCCCTCCCTCCCTTTTTCTCTATTTCTTGTCAGTAATGGGGCTTGAACTCAAGGCCTGGGCATAGTCCCCTGAGCTTTTGTGCTCAAGGCTAGTGCTCTACCCCTTGAGCCACAGCACCACTTCTGTTTTTCTGGTGGATAATTGGAGATAAGCTTTTCTCGGAAGCCAGGTGCTGGTAACTCTCGCCTGTAATCCTAGCTACTCAGGAAACTGAGGTCTGAGAATGACAGTTCAAAGCCAGCCCAGGCTGGAAAGTCTGTGAGACTCTTCTCTCCAGTAAACCACTCAGAAAACCAAGAGTGTCACTGTGGCTCAAGTGGCAGAGCACTCACCTTGAGCTGAAGAGCTGAGGGACAGCGCCTAGGCCCCAGAGTTCAAGCCCTACAAACCCCCCCCCCCCCAAAAAAAAAAAAGACTCTCACAGACTTTCCTGCCCAGGCTGGCTTTGAACCCACATCCTCAGATCTCAGCCTCCTGAGTAGCTAGGATTAGAGGCATGAGTCACTGGCAGCTGGCAACATTCAATTTTTTTGTTTGCTCAGTTTTTTGTTCTCTAAGATAGGATCTCTATATTGCCCAGGCCATAAATTCCTAGGCTCAAGTGACCCTCTTTCCTTAGTTTGCTAAGTTCTAGGAGTACAGGCAGGCACCATTTCCTGAGGTTCCCTTACAGCCATCTTTAGGTGAGTTAACACAAGGATAAAGAAGCAGTCAAAAACCAGGAACAGGTAGCTCACACCTGTAATCCTAGTTACTAAAGAGGCTGAGATCTATGGGAAGCAGTTTGAAGCCAGCCAGACTCTTACCGCCAATTAACCACCAAAAAATGGGAAGTGGTACTGTAACTCAACGTTACAGTGCCCAGGCCCTGAGTTCAAGTCCCACAACCACCACCATCAACAACAAAAGAAATCAGGCAAGGTGGCATATATGTGTTATCCCGCCACTCAGGAGACCAAGTCAGGAAGATTATGAGTTTGAGACCATACTAGGCTGCATAGCAACTTCTAGGACCACTTTGGTCTATGCAGGTCTATTTAGACTCTCCCTAAAATGAATGAATAAATTATTATTTCTTTTTTTTTCTTGGGTCCGGTCATGGGGCCTGAACTCTGGGCCTGAGCGCTGTCCCTCAGCTCTTCAGCTCAAGGCTAGCGCTCTACCACTTGAGCCACAGCGCCACTTCCAGCTTTTTTCTTATGTGGTGCTGAGGAATTGAACCCAGGGTCTCGAGCATGCAAGGCAAGTGCTCTACCACTGAGCCACCTTCCCAGGCCATAAATTATTATTTCTAGCACCAGAAGAAAGGGGTTATTTCATCAGCTAAATCTCTCCCAGTGTGTCCATGTAAGGATGCATTATATAAGCTTCTTTTTTTTTTTTGTCAGTCGTGGGGCCTGAACTCTGGGCCTGGGCGCTGTCCCTCAGCTCTTCAGCTCAAGGCTAGTGCTCTACCACTTGAGCCACAGAGCAACTTCTGGCTTTTTCTGCTTATGTGGTGCTGAGGAATTGAGCCCCACCTCATCATCAGGAAGGGCCCACAGGCAGGGCATCAATGGTTCATACCTGTAATCCTAGCTACTCAGGATGCCAAGATCTGAGGATGATAGCTTGAAACCAGTTCAGGCAGGAAGAGATGCTTATCTCCAATACACTACCAAAAAGCTGAAAGTAGACCTGTACCTCAAGTGCTAGCCTTGAACAAAAGAAGCTCAGAGACAGCACCTATATCCTGAGTTCAAGCTCCAGGTCTGGCAAATAAAGAAGGAAGGAAGGAAGGGAGGAAGGGAGGGAGGGAGGGAGGGAAGGAGGGAGGGAGGGAGGGAGGAAGGAAGGGAGGGAGAGAGGGAGGGAGGGAGGGAGGGAGGGAAGGAGGGAGGGAGGGAGAGAGGGAGGGAGGAAGGGAGGAAGGAAGGAAGGGAGGAAGGAAGGAAGGAAGGAAGGAAGGAAGGAAGGCAGGAAGGCAGGAAGGCAGGCAGGCAGGCAAGAAAGGCAGAAAGGCAGAAAGGCCAAGAAAAAGAAAGAGAGAGAGAGAGAGAAAGAAAGAAAGAAAGAAAGAAAGTCCTCAAGCCAGGTATGGTGGCACACACCTACACGTCTTACTTTGGAGGCAGAAATAGGAGGATCGAGTTCTAAGACCAACCATGGGAAAAGTGAGAGACCCTATCTGAAAAACAAATTCATGAAAGCTAAGGGCCTGAGGACATAGTTCAAGTACTAGAATACTTTCCTGGCA